GTAAACTGTTTTGCACAGTATTTGCAACCATATGGCTTTTCATTGGTACGCAAATGCCTTTTTAAATGTGACCTGTACTTGGTTGAATATTCGCAAAGATCACATTTATGTGCTTTTCGATTATTTTTCGGAATGCTGTTGCCCATTGGATTACCTCCATTGTCTGGTTGTGGTTGTTGATTTTGTTGCGCTTGTGCCGCATCTTCTCGCGAATCAGCATTTGTTTTCGTTTCTTTTTCCTTCTTGCAATCGATTTCTTGTTTCGGTTCAATTTTCACATCATCGACGCCCAAAAGTGCGGAATCATCTTCACCATCATGCTCATTGAGGTTATGAAATTGCTGAGATCCATTGTCGTTCGCTACGGGAACGTCGATTAAATGCCCAACAGAGTCTGGATCTTCTTCTTTGATGCATGTCTCTTGTTTGATCTCGGTCGGATCAATTAAACACGCACTGTCACTGTGCCCGATAGACATTCCCGAACATTCCAACTGAGATGGTGTGCTGCAATCCAAATCGTCAACCACGCGGCCCATTGTTGGCCCCCTAAAAAATATTAAAAGTGAAATAATTGTGATTAAGTCTTGTGGGCACAGCATTTCCATACAATTATATTCAAAACAAAGTCTAAAACCAATAATGGCAACAAGTGGTTCCAAATAAATCCATTTCATGATAGACAATTCTACGACGGAATTTTTTTATTGCAACATCAACAACAACAACTGTACAATGCGGTACAATAGTTCAATTGGCAAACAATTTACTTACTTCCTATTCTTTTCCATTTTGTTTCGCTGAACTTATTGTTTCAATCACCAGCAATAATGAGTGTATTTGTTTAGTTTCTTTTTAGAATTTAACGAATTTTCAATGAAAATCAAATCGAAATAATGTGAACTTTATTTGCAAAATTACTGCACCTAATAAACACGTGTTGATGCTTTCGTAGTCGCCGACAAAAATAATGTGTCAACTCACACAAGAAAGAATTGGAGTGGGGCAAATGCATTGGTGCGATATGAATGTTGGATGATGATGTCTATGTTCTAGCTGTCAAAATATTTGTGAGTTTCGCCATAAGTTGGCGCGAATAAATCTGGATTGATTCAATGTTAGAGAAAAAAAAGAACTTTGGTTTGCATACACATAAATATTTTTTTTTGTCGTTCGGAATCATAACCAATATATTTATCATAAAAGCACAAAACCAAATTTTTGTGAATGATAAGTTTTCGCAAAATGTTCTCAGACCGCCAAAATTATCTCTGTCAAAAATCCGTTAAAAACTGTGGGATTCTATGAACCACAATCACAAGATTGGCAGATACATTTCTAGAACAAATCGGCAGAATGTTTGGATATAAAAGACCGTGTGTATTAGCTTGAATATGTTATTCAGTCAGCAACATTCACATAGTTTGTTTGCAAATTTCTTTAAATTAAAAAAAAAACTCAGCATGGAAAAGCAAATCGTTATCATCGGAGCCGGAGCTTCAGGAGTGGCAGCCGCCACAAAACTTGTGTCGAATGGCTTTAGCAACGTAACAATTTTGGAAGCTGGAAATCGCATCGGCGGAAGAATCAACACCATCCCATTTGGAGAGAATGTTGTCGACATGGGCGCACAATGGTAATCCATTGAGACATTTTTTCCATAATATATTTGATACTATTTCACTAAAATTTATTTTCATAGGTGCCATGGTGAAACAGGTAATGTTGTCTATGAAATGGCCAAAGATAAAAATCTGTTGGCTCATAGTACCGAAGAAAGTCGAGGCAATCGGTATGTTCGATCAAATGGTGAAGAGATTCCAATGGAACTTTGCAAAAAAATCACTGCTCTTATTATGGACATTATGGGAGACCATTATGAAGAAGAACGAAAGTCATATGGGTCAAGTGGTAACTTTTATGCTGCAAAGTGAGTATCAATTATATTCGTTTTCAGTAAAAAAGCAATGAAAATTGACTTGTTTCAAGTTAGATTCATGAAAGCTCTTGAATCCGATGAATTCAAGGAAGTTGACTCTGAATTGGCACACGAATGTATGGAATTATTTCAAAACGTGGTGAATTCAATCGATGGATGCGATACATGGTATGAACTGTCAACAAATTACCATGAATACGAAGAGTGTGAGGGTGATTACATCATGAATTGGAAGGACAAGGGTTATGCTACTGTTTTGGACTTAATGCAGGTATTTGCAATTATCCCATCATAAATTTTACATATATTGACTTATAAAATGTTTTATTTTTTCTTCAATACTAGAATAAAATTCCTGACACCCAAAATCCTCAGTCCGTAATAGATGTTATTCCATTGACTAAATTTAATAAAGAAGTGGTCAAAGTTTGCTATAATCAACCCGGTGCACCCGCAAAAATTACATGTAAGGACGGAAGTTCTTATTCAGCCGACCATGTGATCAACGGTGGTTCTAAAAGAACGATGTTTGAGTATGTTCGAACCGTTGCTACCGCTATGGAAATACAATAGCATCGACGGCATGATGATTGGAACTGTTGACAAAATCTTTTTGGAATTCGATAAACCATTTTGGAGTGAAAATTGGGAAGGATTCAGTTGCTTGTGGAAGTTGGAGCAAGTGAAAGAAGTGCGCGAGGATCCGGTGAATGGAGATTGGCTTGAAGGAATCAGCGGTTTCTATCCGTTCAATCCACTGCAACCGAATGTTATTTGCGGATGGATCACCGGCAAATTGGCATGCAAAATGGAGGAAAAGTCTGATGTTGAAGTTAAAAATGGCGCTGAAAAGGTTCTTCGCATGTTTTTAAGGCATTTAGACATTCCGGATGCTAAGAAAATGGTTCGGTAAGCTTATTAAACACTTTTCGATACAAATTAAAGTATTCAAAGCCTGTATTCCATTTCATAGCTCAACATGGCATTCAAACCCTCTATTTCGTGGATCCTATTCGCACTTTGTTCTGAAAGCAGAAGCTTTGGAAACAAATAATCGACAATTGGCTGAACCGATAAATGACTCGAATGGAAAGCCAGTTATTCAATTCGCTGGAGAAGCCACTAGCCCCAAGTACTTTTCAAACGTACATGGGGCAGTTGATGCTGGATGGCGCGATGCTGAACGACTCATTAATTTATACAAATAGAGGCAATTTATTACAAATAATGGTCATTTCGGGAAATTGAAAAAATGGAACTTGACTTTGATTTTGAGAATGCAAAACTAAAACAAAAAGCAAATGTATAATTTTAAATCATGAAATAAACTTTCAAATTGAACATTGTCTCCATTTTATTTGGCAAAGGGTAAACGCCAGGGGCTTTTATGTTAAAATGAATACTACGATTTCAGTAAATATTGAAACATAATGCTGAATATTCAATGAATATTGTATGTATATAAAGAATATACACAAATAAATGTGTATAATTGCATAAATTTGATGAATATTTCGTGAATATTTCGTGAATATTTCCTGTATATATGAAATATACATATTTTGTCATTCTCTTTAGTGCGGACTTTCTTCGTTCCTGTGTCGCTTACTGTGAATATTCACAACATACAGTAGAAAATACGAAATATTCACTAGAGATTTATGCCGTATATATGATGAATAAGACGTGTATATTGTGAATATTATGTGAATATTTCGTATATTCATATACATAAAAGCCCCTAGGGTAAACGTGTGTCAAAAATGAGAAATTGGCTGACAAAAATGGGGAATTGACCCCCCAAAAATAGGGATTTGGCAGTCAAAAATGGTGCGTTTGGTTGTCAAAAATGGGTAATTGGCTGCCAAAAATGTAGCTTTTGGCTGTCAAAAGTAGGAAAATGTGGCTGTCAAAAATGGGGAAATTGCCCCCCCAAAAATGGAATTGGCTGTCAAAAATGAGGTAATGGCTGCCAAAAATGAGGAATTGGCTGTCAAAAATGGGAAATTGGCTGTAAAAATGGGGAATTGGCTGTAAAAAATGGGAAATTGGCTGTCGAGCAGATGGAACAAAGAATAATTGAATTTCATTGATAGCCCTAGCGGGGGAACAATATGAAACAACGAAATGAAGAAAAGACAAAAAACCATAAGAAAGATAATGTAATTAAAGTATCAAATACTTTTTCTTACTTTCAAGAAATGTTTACACATTTTTTTCGTTTTTTTTTATCGACGCATTTTTGACAGCCAATTTCCCCATTTTTGTCAGGCAATTTCCCCATTTTTGACAGCCAAATTTTCCTATTTTTGACAACCAAAAGCTACATTTTTGACAGCCAATTCCCCATTTGTCTCAACCAAACGCACCATTTTTGACAGCCATTTCCCCATTTTTGAAAACCAATCGCACCATTTTTGACAGCCAATTCCCTATTTTTGGGGGGTCAATTCCCCATTTTTGGAGGGTCAATTCCCCATTTTTGTCAGCCAATTTCCCATTCTTATACACCAAAACCATTTTACCTTTTATTTTACTAATTAGTCTTTGAATTTTTACTGAAAAGAGAAAAACACAGACAACAATGGTTCTAGCAGTTGCAACAAATCATTTATTGTTGTCGGTAAATCGATTTGCATTGAAATTTGTTATTTAACTCGAAAAAGGGGGTGATTTTTTTTTTTAAACATGTAATTATTTCATGGTAATGACCTGGAACTTGGATGCACAGTAAATGCATTATAAATGAAATTAATACTAATTAGTACCAAATGTTAATTCGAACGACATCCATCTGCAAATGAGACGATCAAAGCAAGTCAAACGAAATGAAAACAGTTGATTATTCTTGATATGCAATTTATTTTATTTATTTTATTGGTTTTACATTAATTGATTGGTGAACAAGAGAAGCTTAAAAACTACTTGAAATCGAAACAAAATTCGGTTTTTAGGATTTAGAAAAAAATGTATGGACGTTCTTAAATTCTTTCAAAAATAAAAGTCATTTTCATCTTGATGTCCTCGTTTGATTTATTGTTGACGACTTAGCATTCTGGCTAACCAAGTATTCTTCTTCGAACTTTTTGTGATCTTATCTTACCGATGGTTTTGCGAACTTTCTTATTTTCTCTATTTTTCCACTTCAATACACGTTCCACCTCGCAATCCGATTCCAGTTCAGCGATTGAGTGTTGTCGTTTGTGAGCCAACATCATTCTCATTGTCTCAAAGCTTTTGGGGCATACATCGCAGTGGTAGTCTCTACTTTCACACGACAAATCATCGACTCCCCCCGATTCATTTGTTTCAATTTTCTTCATTGGCGATGGGATAAATGTCTGGCATTCCGGTGATATAATGTCCGCATTGGGATCGATGCATGAAGAATCCCAATTCTGTAGATCGTTATTAACGGTGCAAGCAGAGGTCGACAGATCCTCGATTTTCGGTTTGAAAATTCTAGTCCAAGTCGAAATGCCAAAGATCACATTATTCGACACAAAATCTATTTCGTACTCGGGTGTTTTAAATGTTGATTCACAACCACTGTCAGTCACCACTTCTTTTTCAATCAGAACGTTCATTTTGATAGTTTTATTTAAAATTCTGTTGTCGAAAGTGAACCAATTACTTTGCAAAACTTTATTTCTCTTACTTTCTTTTGATGAACACTAGGTATAGTAGTTTACGTTCGCTTCTTTTGAATATTTATACTTGAATGATTCAAATCATGTGGAAAGCGTATATTTATACAATTCCTTTGAACATTGGAGAACGTAATTAACCCAAGGTACTAATTACTAATTACTAATTAGTACTTAGGACTAATGTCATCTTCAATGCAGGTAGCGGACCATAAAAAAGACTCATTTGTCTTAAGATCGATCATTTTCCTAAAAGCAAAAAAAAAAACAATATCGATAACTATTGTTCTTTTTATGGCTTATCTGATCAAATCAAAGCAAAGACTTTCACTACAAAGTGAAAAGATAATTAGACTAATGTCTGACTGGGTAGTGGGTACATTCTAAAAGAATTTATTATTTTCAAAAGATTCAGGTAGGTTATAATTCACATTTTAATTATTTTCATTTATTTTGATTATTAATTTTAAGAAGAAAATGTAAAGAATCAACTTTGTAACTGATAAATGTTTGAGAATAAATGTAATAGAAAGAATAATAATAGTTCAAAATGATCAATTTAATGTCCTTTGCACCAGCGGTTCGATATTAATTCATTTTCTTGTTGTGGCTTCGATTGATGTGTGTTTTCAAACTGAAGCTTCGGGTATAATTGCGGTCACACAGCTTACATTTGAAATAATTTTGCCTGTGTGCTTCGTCATATGTCCTTTCAAAATAGCTTTGAGCCGGCCAAAGAATATTCCGCAGATATAGCATTCGTAACCTTTCCGGAAACAGGTCTTCTGGTGCACCTTGCGTTGTGTTTGCTTCAAGAAACCGAGGCGACAAATCGAACATTTAAACGGGAGATTTTCGGTATGTGATTTCATATGCTCATCAAGAGTGGATTTACGTGTATATTGTTTCAAACAATGTTGGCACCTGAATCGCTTTTCGCCTGTATGATTGTACATATGACTCATTAAATGTGGTTTCGAGCTACCAATTAATTTACCGCAAACATAACATTCGTATACACGGCGGTTGCATTTGCCTTCATGTGCATTTCTTTCGTTTTCCTGTGTGAATCCCATTCGACATCTGGCTCAGTGAAACGACCGTGGACCGATGTGAAGTTCCATGTGCTTAGTGAGATTCCCATTGGTTGAAAATCGTTTTTGGCATTCGGTACATTCAAATGGTTTTTGGGCATGACTGGGATACAAAAATTCCCATTTTTAGTAGTTTTTGTATGAAAAGTGCTTCGAAAATTATTTGTATCGTAAAACTAATGTCAGATTCAGTTTTCTCGTGAATTCTTTGAGTAAAAGATTTGTAATAAATGCATGTTGTGGATCACAGTGCGGAAAAGTTCATCTTGCGGATGTAAGACATTTTATTTTTTCACAAAAAGCCGACATTATGAAAGTTTGAAAAAATTTTAATACAACCTAGGGGTACTTCTCATACAAAATGTACGTTTTTGAGCGAAAGATCCAAAATTTTGTTCGGGACGTTCCCCTGATATGCATTGAAATCTCTTCAAACTCTCAGAATGTTATTTTTGTGTGATAAAAATAACCTGTGCAAAGTTTCAGCTTATTACGATATCATACAGGCATGTCTTTCATACAAGAATCCAAATTTTTTGAAATTTTTGTATGAAAAGTGTGTCGAAAATCATTTGTATCGCAAAACTAATATCAAATTTAGTTTTCTCATGCCAAAAAACATACATACTCTTGATATAACCAATGATGTTTTGCACCAGATGACTAGTCGATTTATTGAATAAAACCGAATTGTTAAATATGAAAATGTGTTTAAAAACTACAATAGATTTTATGACCTTTTCCATAAAATAGGGTTAATTACCTAATTAAGTGCTCAACATAATCACTTTTGTTCAGGTAGCAGCATCGGTCAAAACGAAAAACCCGAAACACCTAGCGATTTTTTAAGAAATCCTTGAGTAAGAACAAAAAAGATCGGTAATTAGTTATTATATACATAATTCGAATCGCATCCACTCATTAGAAAGTAATATCATTAGAGGCCGGGCAATACTGAGTAAAATTTCAGGTGAAAATCTATAAAAGTGGTACT